TGCTGGGCCTGGCGCGCGGCGGGCCCGCGCTGTGCGACGCCTTCGCCTTCGCCATGACCTTCTTCGGCCTGGCGCCCACGTGCATCCTCTTCGCCATGGCCGTGGAGCGCTGCCTGGCGCTCAGCCACCCCTACCGGTACGCGCAGCTGGACGCGCCGCGCTGCGCCCGCCGCGCGCTGCCCGCCATCTACGCCTTCTGCGCGCTCTTCTGCGCGCTGCCCCTGCTGGGCCTGGGCCAGCACCAGCAGTACTGCCCGGGCAGCTGGTGCTTCGTGCGCATGCGTGCCGCCGAGCCGGGCGGCCGCGCCTTCTCGCTGGCCTACGCCGGCCTCGTGGCCCTGCTGGTGGCCTCCATCGTCCTCTGCAACGGCTCGGTCGCCGTCAGCCTCTGCCGCATGTACCGCCAGCAGAGGCGCCACCAGGGCGGCCCCGGGCCCCGGGCCGGCGAGGACGAGGTGGACCACCTGCTCCTGCTGGCGCTCATGACGGGCGTCATGGCCGTGTGTTCCCTGCCGCTCACGGTGAGGGTCCCCCCGCCCCGGGGCTGGGGCTGGGACGGCGCAGCGGAGGGCAGCACGCGGCTCTGGCGTCCGTGGCGTGGCGGCTGGCCCCCGGAGTCCCGGCCCTTGGGGAGGCCGAGGGGCGAGGATGGCCTGAGGTCAGGAGCTCGAGACTAGCCCGGGCCACCTAGCGAGACCCTGTCTCTAACAATACGAGACAGAAAGAGAGGTCAGACAGAGGCTTTGCTTGGTCCCCCGACTTTCTGGAGAGGTCTCTCCCTATCTGCTCCTGCCCCATCCGGCTCCTCTTGACCCCTTGTCTCCCTCTAGGCAGCCCCAGCCCCCATAATCAAATGCACCCCTCCATCCCTCTCCTACCCTCGTAATGACAAGATCCACCATTCATTGAGCTCTGGGCAGTCCTGTGCACAACGGCTTATGCATACTTCTCAGATAATTGTCAAACTGACCACATACGCCCGTTTCACAAGCATTCAGCAGGAAGCGGCATTTTTACAGATGAGAGGCCATGTCTCTTTCCTGAAATCACACAGAACCAGGTCTCGGCCCTGGGTCCTCTGATTCCAGAGCCTGACCTCTCACCCACTCTGCTCCCCGCTTCCCCAGCCCACGCCCCACCCTCGCATCCGTACCTCAGTTTCCTGTGGGGACTCCCGCTCTGTCCCTCCCCTATTGGGGCCGCACAGACCCCGCTGCCTCCCCCCGTCCCCTCCAGTGTCTGAGACACCTGGTCGTGCCACCTATCTCCTGGGCCTCACTTCCTCTTTCTGTGAAATGCCAGAGGTCAAGCTGGATTTGGGGGTCCTTAAGCCTTTTGGGGGATTGTGATGACTCAGAGCCTGAACGCTGCGGACAGATACACACAGGCACAGGCACAGCTGTGGGTATTAGCAGGGGCCCAGGGACGGCAGACTCAGAACTCTGGGTAGTCCGAGGGTCCTCGCAGCTGCAAAGGGTGGGAAGGGAGGACCCACATGCCAGCCCCATCTCTCCCCCTCTGGACCTCTCGGGCTGTTTCTTGGGGCTTTCCCTCCCTTTGCTCCCCGGATGCGTTTGCTACTTCGTTGTTATCTTATTTCCTTCCCTTCTGCCCTCTCCCACATCCCTGCCAGTGAGCAAGTGGGAGGAGGGGGAACGAGGGGGAGGGGGGGACTAGGGGGTGCTCCTTGACACCCTCGCTCTGCCTGCAGATTCGATGCTTCACCCAGGCCGTGGCCCCAGACAGCAGCGAGATGGGAGACCTGCTGGCTTTCCGCTTCTATGCCTTCAACCCCATCCTGGACCCCTGGGTCTTCATCCTGTTCCGCAAAGCCGTCTTCCAGCGACTCAAGCTCTGGTTGTGCTGCCTGTGCTCCTGGCCCGGCCGCGGCGACTCGCAGACGGCCCTCTCCCGACCCGCCTCGGGGAGGAGCGACCCAAGGGCCCCCTCCGCTCTCGCGGGGAAGGAGGGCAACTGGGTGCCTCTGTCTGCCTGTGGCCAGGGGCGGGGGGCACCCTTGCCTCCGGCCCAGCAGCCCCACGGTTGCACCGTGGGAACGCCGTCCAAAGGGGAGGCCGCTGTTGCCTGCCCGCTCTGCTGACATCTCCGGCGGATCCCGTGATCTTCCGGGAACAGGAGCCAGAAAAATCAGGGACATGGCCGATGGCTGCAGATGCCGGAACCTTGGCCCCAGCTCTGGGGCGATGAGCTGCTATTTCTTCTCCTTCAGGGTGGCCGCTGCAGCGGGCTCTGGAGGGGAGTGAGGGACAGAGGGAACATTTATCCTGGAGCACGGAAGAACAGTTCTCCCAAAATAACCAGTGGCCTGGCCGACCCGCTGCAGCCCGGGATGCGCCATCCATCTCGCTGTCTAAATGTTTAGAAGGCGGAAAAGTTCCCAGCGGCTTCTGTGCAGTGAGGTCTGCGCCGACGGGGTGCTGGCTCCCACCCTCGTCCATTCCGGGGGCCTGGCTGGCCACCCCCAGCCCCCAGGGGACAGCTCTGCCCTCTCTCAAGCTGCTCCGAGAGTCGGCCCCTGTCTGCCCCACAAGAGCCAGGGGTGCTTGGAAATTTCCCTGCCTTCCCTCACTGCTGATGGGCTGTCAGACTTGGGAGCCCTGGCACCCCAAGGCAGGGGGAGGATACTGCATTGTGGATGACAACGCGGACAGGTGCCTGTCACGAAAAGGACCTCAGACATTCCACCAAGCTCGGGGGGCTGTGAGACGCGAACTGTGGGGATGCGGGTGGCTGGGAGACCGATGGAGAAGCTGGTGGGTGCGAGGGTGGGTGGGCGCAGATCCCAGTGCCTGCCCCCCGGGGTCCCGAACAAACCACTGCCTCCTGACAGAGCCTGACCTTGCCTCATGTGTCCTTGGGGCCCTCACAAAGATTTCATCCATTCAACCATTCGTTCATCCATGTACCAATCCCCAGCGGGTGCTGAGTGCTTGGTGTTGGGGCCACAGACAAGCGTCTGCCCTGGCGTGGACCCTGCGGGGTGATTTCCAGCCTCTTCCCCCTTCTCATGACCTTTCCTTGCCCTCAGAGAGGCCCGGAATCAGCAGTGCCCCGGGGTGAACCGACTGGCATGAAAGGAAGTGAGTTGGCATTGAGGGCGGGGGCGGGAGAATGGGAACTCCCTCCAGTTCCCTGGCCCCCAATTCTCCTCCTCTCCTGCACTGCCAGTTCCAGTTCCCCTTTCTCACTTGCCCTGGGTTAAAACAACACATCTGTACCTGGGAGGAGGGGGCAGCGAGCAAGGCTGGAGCCCCCTGGGAGGACAGCAGTGCCTCTCATCCTATCTGCACAGCAGCCTATTAGTAAAGCCTCTCTCTCTCTTTTTTTTGAGTTGAGTCTCACTCTGTCACCCTGCGGTGGCACGCTCACGGCCAACCCAGCCTCGACCTGCTGGGCTCAGGCGATCCTTCCACCTCAGTCTTCCAAGCAGCTGGAACTACAGGCACACGCCACCACGGCCGGTCAATTTTCTGGTTTATTGTACAGACGAGGTCTTGTCAAGTTGCCCGGGCTTGTCTTGAACTCCTGAGCTCAGGCAATCCTCTCGCCTCTGCCTCCCAAAGTGCTGGGATGATAGGCGTAAGCCACCATGCCCTGCTGGTAAAGCCTTTCTACAGAGGCTGGAATCCAGGCCCAGAGCGGGCAGCCAACCTGCCCGGGCTGACATAGTGAGTGGACACGGGCCGACATGGAACAGGCCTGTCTGTCCATCTCCAGGGTACCTTGGTTTCCTTTTGACCATAATCTAGCATGTAGCTCACAGCGTTGCTTTGAGGATTAAGGGATTTCCTCTGAAAGGCAATTTAGCAAAGGACTGGAAAGCCCAAGGTAAATGCTACTATTATTGCCATTGTTGTTGTTACTGTTATCTGGCAAATATGATTTGAAAACAAAGCATTGCTCTACTCCATTGTTTTAACTTTCATTCCGCTCCGCCCCCAGTTGTTATGCTTCAAATCACGATAAGGAGGAACAAGGGGTATCTGGGTGGATAAAAATAGGTCGAGGTGACTGATGGGTTTCCTTTTGGGATGATGAGAGGACTCTGGAAGAGAGAGGGGATGGTTGCACAACAGTGTGAATGCACCGAATGCCACTGAATTGTAACTTTAAAACTGTGACCTTTGGACAGGACCGGTGGCTCAGCCTGTAATTCCAGCACTTTGGGAAGTCGAGGCGAGTGGATTGCCTGAGCCTGTGGGTTTGAGACCAGCCCGGGCAACCTGGCAAGACCTCAACTCCACAATAAATAAAAAAATTAGCCAGGCTTGGTGGCTCAGCCTGTAATTCTGGCACTTTGGGAGGTCGAGGTGAGTGGATTGCCTGAGCCTGCAGGTTCGAGACCAGCCTAGGCAACCTGGCAAGACCTTGTCTCTACAATAAAATAAAAAATAGCCAGGCATGGTAGTGTGCATCTGTAGTTCCAGCTACGCGAAAGGCTGAGGCGGAAGGATCGCTGATGCCCACCAGGTCGACGCTGGGGTGTCCGTGAGCGTGCATGCCACTGCACTCCAGCCTGGGCGAAGGAGTGAGACTCCAACTAAAAAAAAAAAAAGGGCAACTTTTATGTGATGGGTATCTTACCATCTTTAAAAAAAAGGTAGTACAGAAAAAAAAAACTTGACGGCGTAATATTATATTGGTTGAATTTAACCATTAAAAAGTTCAGTTGTAAGGCTGGGCACAGTGGCTCACACTGGTAATCCCAGCACTTTGGGAGGCTGAGGCAGGAGGATCACTTGAGCCCAGGAGTTTGAGGCCAGCCTGGGCAACATAGAGAGATCTTGTCTCTACAAAACATTAGCCAGGTATGGTGGTGCATGCCTGCAGTCCCAGCTATTCGGGAGGCTGAGGGGGAAGGATGGCCTGAGCCCAGGAGGTCAAGAGTGCATTGAGCCATGATTGTGTCACTGCACTTTACCCTGGGTGACAGAGTGACCCCAACTCAAAAAAATAAAAGTTCAGGCCGGGCTTGGTGGCTCAGCCTATAATTCCAGCACTTTGGGAGGCTGAGGTGAGTAAATTGCCTGGTCCCTCAGGCTCGAGACCAGCCTGGGCAACATGGTGAGACCTCGTCTCTACAATAAATCAAAAAATTAGCCGGGCGTGGTAGCGCGCGCCTGTAGTTCCAGCTATTTGGAAGGCTGAGTTGGAAGGATCGCTGGCGCCCAGCAAGTCGATGCTGGGGTGGCCATGAGCATAAAAAAAAAAAGTCCAGTTGTAAAAAACCAAGCAGCATAACAGGTCAGGAAACAAACATCGGATTGGGTCCTGGCCTTGTCACTGAACCTGGCCTCAGGGGATCAGAGAGGACGGTGAAGACAGGATGGGGCAGAAGGTCATGTGGGGGGTGGCGCTTGCCTTCTGTCTCTGTGTCTCCCCCGAAGGTGGGTCACTTCTGTCCCTCTGGCCTCTCAGGGCTGAGTACGTGCCAGGGCTGAGACCTTGAACCCCAGCATCCTCACCTGCAGGGGGTCCCATTGTCCACATGAGGAGGAAGGAGAGAAGAGGACACAGCCTGGGAGGAGGGTTTCTGCCAGCTCTTACCCCCAGGCCTGGCATCCCTCTGCTTATCACAGAGCCTCCCTCCACCTCTGGATGTCTACACTGGATGTCTACACTGTCTACTAGGCTGGGGTTTTCAGACAACGCCCACCTCATCCACCCATAGTGCCTCAGAAGTGATTTGGAAACTCCCACTAGCTGGGACCCTGGCCCCTTGATGGCCCAAGGTCACCCTCTGCCTGCTGCCATGGTCCTGGCCAGAAAGCGCTGTCTGGCAGTCCCGGCCAGTTTGTAGAACTCCAAGGACCCCTCTGCCTGGAGACTAAGAAACAGTCCCCCAGCTTTTGCTTCCCTGCAGACCTTGGCCCCCGAAGTCCTTGGTGAAAGCCACAGCAGACGACTGTGGTTTCCCCAAAGAGGCCATGGTATTTCAGGCCCCCACATCTTTGCTTATTGACCTCATTCTTCCTGGAACCATTTTTCTCCTCCGTCTGTCAAAATCACCCTTGCCCTTCCAGGTTCTGCTTAATCTTTCCCTCTTCCGTGAAGACCTGGCCTCTCCTCCCCTGACCATGACGGCGCTGGCGGCAGCCTGCTACAGCCTAGACGTGTGTTGGTGCTCCTGCCCGGCAGGGTCTGCGTGATGGCTCATGGTGTGTCAGGGCTTGTCCCTGTGATGCTGGGGACACGGCAGTGACCGGGATGGTCCTGACCCTGCCCTCCTCGGCCTCACTGTCCGAAGGGGAGATAGCCCTGTCCCCAAAGTGGACAGGGGTGGGGGTGGCGGGAAGTCTAGGCATGAGGGCTTCCGGGAGAAGGGGATGGCTGAGTGCGGACCTGAGGTTTGGAGGAAAGTGAGCCCAGCCAAGGGGAGTGTTTCTGTTGTGCTTCCAGTTCTGACTCTGATGTCTAATGCCTCCCTTCTCGGGCTTCTTATGTATTCATTAATTCAACATACTTTCCCTTGGGCCCGCTCCGGGCTGAGGCTGCTCTGTACCTGCCAGGGACATAGCAGTGACTGATACAGCCTTGGTCCTACTGGGCTCGTGATCCAGTGGGACGGCAATGGAATAATCACATAAATATGTGTTCCAAGAAGCCGCTCAAATACAAACCTACAAGCTGTGCTATGTGCCAAGAGGCCACAGTGCGAGGATTGGGGAGAACGCATACTGTCCTCCCTCGGTGTCTGGGGGAACGGGTCCCTGGATCCTCCTCGGATACCAACATCAATGGATGCTCAAGTTCCTGATATAAAATGGTGTAGGCCGGGTGCGGTGGCTCAGCCTGTCATCCCAGCACTTTGGGAGGCTGAGGCGAGAGGATTGCCTGAGCCCAGGGGTTCGAGACCGGCCTGGGCAACTTGGTGCGAACTGGTCTCTACAATAAATGAAAAAATTAGCTGGACATGGTGGAGCGTGGCTACTTGGAAGGCTGAGGCAGAAGGATCGGCTGAGCCTAGCAGGTCAACGCTTGGGTGGCCATGAGCGTGCCACTGCCCTTTAGCCTGGGTGACAGAGTGAGACTCTGGCTCAAAAAAATAATAATAAAACAGTGTAGTAGGCGCACATAACCTACCCAACCACCCGTATACTTTACACCATCTCTAGATTACTTACACCTGATACAATGTAAATATACTGTATTGTTTTAGAATTTGCATTAGCAGTTTTTTGTTAGAATTTTTTTTTCTTTTTCATTTTTTTGTCAGGGTCTCACTCTGTTGCCCAAGCTGCAGTGCAAGTGGTGTGATCACGGCTTACTGTAGGTTCCACCTCCTGGGCTCAAGTGGGTCTTCTGCCTTAGCCTCCCAAGTAGCTGGAACTACTAGTGTGCACCATCATGCCCGGATCATTTAAAAAACATTTTGTAGAGATGAGGTCTCACTGTGTTGCCCAGGCTGGTCTCGAACTCTGGACTCAAGCCATCCTTCCGACTTGGACTCTCAAAGTGCTGGGATTATGGGCGTGAGTCACCGTGCCTGGCCTGTCAGGATATTTTCTTTTTGAGTTGGAGTCTCACTCTGTTGTCCAGACTGGAGCACAGTGGGCGCGCTCA